GACAGCTGGGGTGAGGCCCGCTGACCTCCTCACTAGTCTGCGGGGTCGCGACTGATGGGAGCAACCACGCCCCATGCTGGCTGCGCCCCCCCCCCCCCCCCCACAAACCCCCCCCCCGAGGGGGGGGCGAAAAGGGGCCGTGTCCCCCTGGGTGCTTTAGCGTTTCGTTGCATGCGGGCTCTTCCCCAAGCTGAACGCGACAGCCAGCTCCTCGTGTCCACGGAAGGTTCTAGGCTCCACTTCACTTATCTCCTGACTGACACAATGGGGACAAGACTGGACTGAGTGTCTGGGTGGATCCGCAGCTATCCCTCGTGGCCCTGGCGGGACAGCGGGGAGGAGCCTTGACTTCTGGTAGCTGGGCTCCAGCTTTGCAAGGTCAGTGTTGGGGCAGCCCTTGTGTCTGCCTTATCCACGGGCATTACAGCGTGCTTTTTTCGTGTCAATTACAAATTCATTACAAAGATAAATATTTAAGGAACGCTTAGCATTCCGTTGACTAGATGACCCTAAGTTTGTTTAAGCAGTCCCCGTGGTCGGACATTTATGTTACCTCTAAAAGTCTAATATAAATAATGTCATCATGGACACTTTTATTCTGATCTTTGTCCGAATATCCGGTTATTACGTAAGACAGCTTTTGAGGAGAATTCCACAATCGACATCACCCAAGGCTCTTTGTACAGATGGCCGGATTGCTTTCTAGAAGTGCACCCTTATTTCAGGGAGGCAGAAATGAGGCCCAGAGAGGGGCTGTGACCTGCCTGTGGTCACGAAGCGGTGGGAGCGGAGTGGGCAAGCGCTTGGTGATGCTGGTTAGTACCCGTCTGCTGTTGGCCACTGGCATGGGGTGAGAGCCTAGGATTTTGCCGGACCCGGGTTCTGACAGCACCAGGGTGGCATCGGTGGGGCCCGGGGAGGATGGAGGATCTGGCGGGATCTCACAGTCTGGGGACCACAGACTCTCGGGCAGGATCGCAGCCAGTCATCAGCGTCTGCTTTGGCTTCAGAACCAGGTAGGGGTATGTGAGTGTGTGGGGGGGTGTGTGTAGATCAGTTCGTTTATTCCAAAGGGGAGCAAGCGAGCGCATTTGGACCAGGGATCATCCTACTGTTGTCTGTATCAGATAGGGACTGGGTCTTGGAGGTGGGGCCCGGACCCCTCCCACTCTCCCACCAGATCGCGAGGCCCTGCTGCCTGGCCTGGAATGATCGTAAAGCGCCTTTGCGTCTGCTCCCTGGAGCTGCGCTCCTGGCCAGGCTCTCCCCAGGGCAAGGCTCAAGAGGCCGGAGCCGAGGGGACGGACGCTATACCAGCCCGGGCCCGTCGTGGTTCAGGCCAACTTCCCCCTTTCCATTAAAACAGCCTGGGCCCAAAGACAAACGACCCAGCCTCAATTTATGACCCTGTTAGCACCACCGCGGTGAAGAGACATCTCTTCCGGGCAGTGTCTGCAAAAGGTGCCCAAAGCTGTCCCCTGCTATTGCAGCGGTATCCCGCCAGGGCCACCCCCAAGGGGTGGTTCAGCCTGTGGGTTAGGGAGAGGCAAGAAAACACCCAAAGTCACTTGTGCAGAAAAAACCAGGACGCGGTCGATTCCCAAAGGCAGTATTTTATGTGCACTGTTTCCTTCAAGTCTGAGGCTCAGGCAGGCAGGAGTAATATATTAGCTCCGTTGCTTTAACTGGACAGCAGCATGAGCTTGTAATAAGGATGTGGTAATACACCACGAGAATCTGTAGGCTCATAAAACTTGACCTTATAAATCTCTGTGTGTATCAATCCCATACAGCAGCCACTCCCTGCCGTGGAAGTCCCAGACTTATAAAGTGGCCCGTTGATAACAGAGCAATTTATTCCCCCTCACCTCCCTTCTTTTAAACTCCTCAAGACAGACTAATCAGGGGACATTAATCATTTCTTTTTTAAACAGGAATGCCACATCAAAACACGTGAGACCCGAGCCATTCTCGAGGATCAGGCAGTGGGGCCCTGGGAGGTGAAGCAAGCTCATTAACAATTAGGATAAAATGTTCCCTAAGCAACTTCCTCTCTGCTCCCCCACCTTTGCTCAGCCGCTTTGGGGGTGGCGGGGTGGGGGGGTGGGCGTGGTGCCACTGTGCGGCCCTCTTGCGGCCCTCTTGCTCTAAATCAGGGGTCGCCAAACGCTCTCTGTAAAGGGCCAGATGGTAAATAGGTTAGGCTTTGTGGGCCGTGCGGTTTCTGTTACAACAGGCATAGACAGGATGGAAACTGATGGGGATGGCAGTGTTCCAATAAAACTTTATTTAGAAACACAGAGGGGCCGCATTTGCCCTGTGGGCCGGAGTCTGTTAGCCCCTGCTCTAAATGGCGCGGCCTCCTCCTTGAGGGTCTTGGGCACCGACTTGCTCTGTAGGAATGATGCCACACCTGGGATCCCCAGCTTGGGTGTGCCCGGCAGTGTCCCACCCATCGGCTCCTTTGATCCCGAGACAGGGTATCATTTCTCTCTCTTATTCCACAGGCGAGAAAACTGAGAACGAGAGGTTCAGTGGCTTCCCCCAAAGCCACATACCTAGTATGGGCAGGGGTGGGGTTCGAACCAGCTGCTCCGGGCTCAAGTGCACAGGAGGGCAGAACAGCAGCGGTCCCCCGGGGCCAGGCACTGCGATGGCAGCCTGCGTGACGTTAGGGTATGCCTGGCATCTGGGTCCCGGCTCCTGGCTGTGTGGCCCCGGGCAAGTCACTAAACTTCTCAGATCCTCATCTGCAAAAGGATGGCAAAGAGCCTGACTGCAGGCTTGTCACCAGGATTAAATAAAACCTGTGGGAAGCTTCCCGGGAGACCCTGACGTGCTGAGTAAATGTTAGTTTATCTAATTGTCTTAAAGCGCTCAGGCGAGCGGCTTGACAGACCTCTTTTCTGGATTAGAAGCGCTGTGTTGGCGTTGCTTTGGTGCAGCCCCCGATTTTGGCAGGGGTCCTCGGCAGGTGGAGCCGAACGTGAGTCCGATTATAGTTCCCAAGCCTCGGCTGAAAGTGGTCGTGAGCTCTGCCGGCCCGGCTGGCCCCAAAGGGAAGGACTTTGAACCCATTTGAACAGACAGGAGGGTGCAGGGGGGCAGCTCCCTGCCGGCCGTTTCGAGGAGGCTCCCGGCAGCATGGGGTTCTATTTAGGGAAGCCGTTTCCCTGTCTGGGCAGATGGCCTGCAGGAACGGGGGCTTGGCCGATCTGGTTTCAACTAATTCTATTAAACGAAAAGTTCTGTAGAGCAGATTCCTTTGCGAGCCTCTGTCCACATGGCGATTTAATCGAGTAAATTAAAACATCCTTGCTTTCTGTCCACATTGCTGCTTTCTGCGGTGGCCTTGTAGGGGAAAGGCGGGGGAGGAGGGGAAGTCTGGATTTGTAGGGGCTCTGGCCGGAGGTGGGGGTGCTGGAGGCCCCTGGAGACCGAGGCAGGGCCCGGAGAGGGTGACAAGGGGGTGGCAGGAAGAGGACCCTGGCGAACGGAGGGTTAGGATGGCCGAGCTTGCGGGGAGACCGCCAGCCATGCAGTCCACCCCCTCATGATGCGCGTGGGGAAACTGAGGCCCAGAGAGGAGAAGTGACTTGATCAAAGTCACCCAGGCAGATTGGAGCCAGGACGGGCCGAGGGCTCAGAGGCACGTGAGCAAATCAGACGCAAGGAACATTCCTGTTCCCGGAGCTGTTGCTCTCTTGGGACTGTCAGGAGGCCAGTGTGGCATTGTCGTACCCTGGGAAAATGGGATCTGCGTTTTCCTTTTCCTTCAGCAAAGGGCTTGGCTGCCTCGTCTGTTGCCCTGCCTGGGGTTATTTACGGCGATCTGCCAGTGACACTGTGTGGTGGCATTTTCAGACCTCTCCGTCAGGCGCTAGAACCTTCTTGTACCCAGACCTTACCGTTTACAAAGCAGGAAGGTACAGAGCTGAGCTGGTGGACCCCAAGCTCTGTCCTCTCGGGCCTCCCCCTCCCCGGGCCCCTCCCCGGAGCTCTGCAAAGCACAGCAGGGAACTGGCCGCATTTGCAAGAATGTGGACTTGGGATTTGCCCTCTCCCTGCTGTCACGTGGGGGCAAACCAAATAAAGACACGGCACCTTAAATTCCCTGATTCCACGGTGTTCCTGATAAAATAGTGACGCCTTTCATGACTCACGGGGCTTAGCAAGGCTTCAGTGGGATCGCACGGCCCTGACGGCGGATCGCCCGCTCCCTCGGGCAGCAGGGGCACAGTGCCCTTGGGGAAGCTTGCCAGCCTGGGGTCTCCTTTCCGCCCTTTCATTCCCCTGTTTGCCATGAGAATGGGGAAGAGAGTCCTCCCTCTGCTGTGCCGCAGGAGAGCCACTCGGAGCCTCGGACCCACCAAATTAAACGGGTACAGTGCACTCGCTTCCAACCCCAGACCCCAAAGGGAGCTTTGATCTGCCTGCCTGTCAGCAGCGGTTGAGCTGGAGGAGGGCAAGGCAGCTCGTCATACGCCAGATTTCAAACTCACGGCCAAGAAGCCTCTGTTCTTCTTTACAGCCGTGAGGGTGTCCGGGGGCGCCCGGGTGGCTCAGTCGGTTAAGCGTCCGACTTCAGCTCTGGTCATGATCTCACGATTTGTGGGTTCGAGCCCCGAGTCGGGCTCCGTGCTGACAGCTCGGAGCCTGGAGCCTGCTTCGGGTTCTGTGTCGCCCTCTCTCTCTGCCCCTCCGCCTCTCATGCTTTGTCTCTCTCTGTCTCTGAAATATGAATCGACCTTAAAAAAATAAAAAAAAAAAAAACCAAGGGTGTCTTTGGGGGTACCTGGGTGTCTCAATCGGTTGGGCGTCCGACTCTTGGTTTCTGCTCAGGTCATGATCTCACGGTTCATGGGATCGAGCCCCGCGTCGGGCTCTGTGCTGACAGCTTGGAGCCTGTTTGGGATTCCCGCCCCTCCCCCCGCCCCCGTTCCTCCCTTGCTCACGCTTGAGCTCCCTCTCTCTCTTGATGAATAAATAAACTTTTTTTAAAAAAAAGGATGTTTTAATACCATGCTTAACATGAACCAAGGACATTCTGCCAAGTGTCACGCGTGAGCAGGAAGGATCTCAGCACGGGCCCACAGGGTGTCCACTGGTGGTGGGCAAACCTCTCTGCGCGCGTCTGGCACATGGTTGAGGAACATGCTGAGGCTGGTGTCCGGCCGGCTGAGGAGCCTGCCGTGGGAGAATGCGCTCGATGAGCCATTATTTGCTTATTCGTGGGTGGCAGCTGGCAGAAAATTATCCAGTGACAAAGCCCAGGTCCCTAGAAGAGAGTGACCAGGACGTTGCAGCTTCGCTCAAATCCACCCCCTCGACAGACCCACGTGCAGGTTCCGAGAGAGGACGGCCTTTCCAGAAGGGTCGGGGCCGCGCTGCAGTGTGGCCCACAGCGGGAGGGAGGCTGTCCCCCCCCTGCTCCGGATCTCACCGCGGAGCACCCTCTGTGTGGCGACCTTGGGAACCGACGGCTTCAGTGGTGACATTGAGAGGATGGGCCGGAACCGCTAATGGACACAGAGACGCAGACGTGGGTGAGGTGACCTTTAGCACAGCCGCAGGCAGAGCACTTGACCCCGAGACGTCCCCTCGAGACTCTCACAAGCGCTGGGGGGCCCTCTCAAGGCCCCTCGGGGCCGGAATCTCAGTGCGCCAGTGGAGCCGATGATGGGGGTAGGGAGCTGGTGCCACGTGAGGGCTAATGACAATGACGGTCCCCTGCCCTTCAGAGTATTAAGGCTTGGGAAATCTCACGTCCAGATCACTGGGATTTGGGAAAAATCAGGTGTGCGTGGGGGAGGGGCGACCCTCTAGGATTCCAGACGAGGACCCTGAACTCATTCAATTGGGGGAGCATGTCACTGGGGGGTACGTTTATCCTCCGGGATATTAGCGCAATATTCTCCACACCTGTGCCGAGAAGCGGCCTCGGGCAGGAGCTACGTGCGTGGGCTTTGGAGCCACAAAGACAGGGGATGGCATCTTGGCCTGCCCTTTTACGGGGACCTTGACCTCTCCGAGGGTCAGCGGCCTCATCTACAACACGAGGGTGCTCACATCCAAGTTGGCCCAGAGAGGAGCGAATGCTGTGTGTTAACTGGTACCTCGGAAGACCAGAGGGTGGAGGGCACGGCTGCTTCTCACCCTTGTAAGCGCGGAGCTAGATTCAGCACGTTCGAGATGACACTTGGCTCTCCCGGGCTTTCCTCCAATAACACGGATGCTCTGGTCAGCAAATCTGGGCGCGTCGTCCCTCAGAAGACGTATTTGTCCTGTGCCGCCGGGAGGGCTCCGTTCAAATCTCTCTGCTGGGCCAAAGTTGGTTGTGTTTACGCCTTTGGCTCAAGACACTGAGAAAACAGAAAAGAGATTATGTTCCTGTGGGTTTCATTAGATCCGCCATACCCCCGATTATCCCCTAGCTGTCCGCAGTTAACCAGTGAGATCCCCGCCCTGTGCAGGCTACTGGGACAGTGGGACTGGGGAGGCGATACCTCTGGGAGCAGCACTCAAGCCAACGGAGCGGCAGAGAGGGAGCCCCCCTCCACCAGAAGAAAGTGCAAGAAAGCCGCCCTCGGTTTGGGGCTCACTTCCTCCATCTGGACCGCTTGGTCCCCTTCGAGAGAACTGACTCACAACAGCGCCTCATTCTCTCACTCCCCCCGCCCCTTGTTGGGTTTTTATGGGTGCTTACTCTGTGCCGAGCAAGAGTAAACGGGGGTCAAGGTTTTGCTCGGCCAGCGCCTCGCAGGTGCACATGTTCTCCGACTACCTTGTTCCCTGCGCAGGCCCAAAACGGGCTTCCAAGTCACCCGCTCCCCAGACAACCTTAAAAGAGGTGCACTGGCCGGTCTGTGGCAACACGGACAGCCGGCCGTTCCTGCCTTACTCTATCTACCCCCTCTGAGCTTCCTTCTGCAGCGCGAGCAGCCAGAGGTTGGTTTTAGAAGATAACGACCCACCGGCCCAGCCCTGCCCCTTTAAAAGAGCTCTGCTTCATGCTGGAAAACCTTTTCCTTCCGTCAAATTCCAAGCACTGAATTTACTCAACATACTTGCAGAGACTCATGTTTTATCCGTTTTTAATTAACTCATTTTGAAGCTTTCATACTTGCCCCCAAAATATTTTATTGGCATTTCATTACCATTGTTTTCCTTGGGAAGGCCGCCGATGCCGTGGAGAAGGGTCACCAAGCAACATGGCTTGGCATGTGGACACGCTTTTGTTCGCCTTTTTCTGCCAGACCTCTCTGGGGCTCTTGCATTTACTGTTAAAATATTACGGAGGCCCACACCCGAGCGGCCGTAATCCCTGGTGCTAGACTGTCTCTAATTGATTTAATTATTCATAATTGCTCAGCTGGGTTCATGCATACTTCGGCGTGATTATGGTGAGCAGGCCGGTCTGTGGCTAGCCGTGTGTCCCTTCCCGATCCACAGGCGGGTCTCGGAGTCCACTGTGGGCCTTGCACGGCTTGCGGACCTTTGGACGGCGCCCTCCGCATGTCGGCCTCAGAGCGGTGCCACCCTAGAATGTCTGCTTTAGATGTTTGGGGATTTAGAATGCTTGGTCCCAATGGAATTTCCAAACAAAAGACAGGGACGTCGGCCAGGGTGGGGAAGGGCAGGAGAGGTTGGGTGAAAAGGAAATTAAAACAGAAAAGTAAGACACACCGGCCGAGGAAACAGATGCGTATCGGCGTGACCCTCAACCCGGCCCTCCCGGGCCGTGCGTGTCCCCAGATGTGTGCAGAGTCGCCGGTGAGGCCCCACGCCACGTCCAAGACGCTTGGTCTCGAGAAAAATAAACCTGCCGGTATCAGCAGGAATGCGCAAGAGGCAAAGTGGACGCAGGAACAAATTCCATCACGAGGCGATGTCATCAGCCTAGGGTTTCTCTAATTGTCCCCATACCAGGCTTCTTAATTAATTCAAGACGAGTAAATGATACGAGGCTTGTACGTTTCATGGGGCGGCTTCCTGGTGACTAAGATTTGAAGCAATAGAAGGAACCGGAGCATTCTTGCTTCCTGATGGTCCCCAGTCATCCCCAGCCCTGACCCAACTCAAAAGAGCCGTAGCCTCCTCCGGCTTATTTTGGAAAATAGCACGCACTGGCTCGGGGATGTTTGTGGCCTTCTGGCTGTTTAGGAAGGGCTTTTTCTATCCTTTTCCTTATCTGAGGCTTGGGTCGGGTCAGAAAAAAGCCGTGAGGTTTGGCAGGGCAGGGAGGATTATCCCCCTTGTACAGAGAAAGAAAGTAAGGGTCTGGGGGTGGGGGTGGAAAAGTGATCGGGTTGGGTCATACCGCTGAGAAGGGAGGGGGGACCCCCACACAGGCCTAGAGACGGTGTCCCTCTGCCTGTCACTGCCTCCAAGTAGAAGTTGGAAAATAACTCACCAGACTATCTCATCCTGGGTTCTGGGTTGCTGGAGAATGACCGTGACCTATGAAGCCAGGTGCAGCCCGGAGACCGAGAACAGATCCCCCAAAGCATGGGAGGAGGGTGGCGGGGGCACGTCTAGGTACACAGTACTCTTACACTCACTGTCTCTGGTCACTTGAAACAGCCCTACAAGGCAGCGTTTTCAGAAGTCAGAGCCCAGTAAATATTTGTGTGAGTAAATGAGACCCTGGGTTACTCAGCTGGGGAAACTGAGGCTAGGAAAAGCTAGGTATAGGCAAGAGGGACCTCACGGCCGAGTCCGCGATGCCCTCATCACCCCTGCACCCCGCCGGGCTCAGGCAGGCAGCAGTTTAATCTAAAATAAATCCTAAAGTAGCTCCCAGGACGAGGAACAGGTCCCAGCTCTGCTTTGACCCCCGGTGCCTCGCAGCACCTTTTCTAACAAAAACACAGAACCAGTTTTTACCCCCCAACCGGCCACACGGACCCGCGAACCTTGAGAGGGGCTGACAGGCAGCCACAGCCTCTGTGAGCTGAAATGGATTATCCGGGGGTGTAATTACACGTATTTGTGTGCACCGATTCTGCACCAGAGGATCCTGAGATGATGCTGGAGGCTGGGGCGGTGGCGGGGAGGGGGTAAGGAAAGAAAAAAGAAGGGAAAGAAAGAAAGAAAGAAAGAAAGAAAGAAAGAAAGAAAGAAAGAAAGAA